TTAATTTCATTCAGTTGATATCCTACTATTAGCCTTAGTTCATGCTATATGTACACATGCTAATTGCATAGTACTTGAACATGAACCCCACTTTCCAAGTATACTTTTGAGGATAAAATACCTTTTAATATATTTGTGCCAATATGGTATGTACAGTAGGTTTTATTGGAGTACAACATGCAAACTTCTTCTATGGAACTTTTCAAAAAATCTTGTATGTTACATGAACAGTAAAACAATTTTTTTCGTAAGTCCTCCAAGCAAATTGAAGAAGATGCTGTATTATGTTCGATCATTTGGAGGCTAGTAGGTGAACATGAGCTGCATCCCAAAACCCACAGACACTTTGGTGTGAGATTGTCCATTCTTACAATTCTGCCTCTATGGTTTTGCCCCCTCTCCTTTATCCTTCTCCCTACTTCACCGCAGTCGCGCACTCCATTGCCGCGGGTGATTGAGCCTTTCCCACCCTTGCCAACTTCCACCGAGGGTCCCAATGCTACAGACAGCGACTCATCTGTCTACACTGCATCCCCTTCTTTGTCTGCTTTCTCTTTTTCTTCCTCCTCTTCCTCCTTCTCTGTCACCTCCTCCTCTAGCACTAGTGACAAGGTCAGCCAATTGGACACACTGTACAGAATGTGAGGGGCTTGCTTGTCTGGAAACCTTTGGCTTTCCTCAGTCTTCCTCCTTTTGTTGGCTTGTTTGTCTGAACACCTGTACATAATTTTCCCTGCCTATTGCTGCTTTTTCCCTCTGTACTGTCACTGGCAATAAATCATGCCCCCTTCTTTTCCTTCCTTCCCAGTGATTCCTGCCCATAAATGAGGTCCTTTTTCAGGTTCTTTGTAAAAACAAACAACCTTAATTTGAGGTTTGAAAGTAGAAGCATGAAGGCCATCTGTTGCTTCATTCCCTCTACCCTTTTGAGAGGCTGTGACAGGCTTTTGTTCCAATGCAAACGAAACATTTTTTCAAATTTCTTCTGAGCAATTTATAGATGTACATTTTATTAGGAAGAAGTCTTGCCTCCAAGCTAGTTCTCTGTAAAAAGTCATGCAGATGACATAAAAATTGTTTACTTCAAGTGGTTTATCTTCAAATAGAAAGTAATATTGCATGCAAAATATCGGGAGAGTTGATGTCAGAGTCAGGTAGTTTGGATCAAAAGCTTGCTCTTACTCTGTTGGACTGTGACAACCATAACAGAAGAGCTTGCAAACCTCTGCTCAACCTATGCAGTTGATTTGCTGTAAATTTTGTTGGACCCAAGCATGATTCAGTAAAGTCTTAAGAGGGGAATGTTGGTTTGACTTGCAATTTTAGTCTTTTGTTGTGCTGTGTCTTTGTCTTCAACCCAGCAAATTTAACTTGGTAATGAATTAGTCCAAAGTCTTTACTTGTCCTTTGCATGTGGTGCATCTCAAAATGAAACAGCTTGTCATATTTGGCATATCTGTAAAGGTAAGCTAGGCTCCCATCTGAAGGTGTTTGTCTTGTGTGTCTGTGCATAAGGTGCTGGATGATAGTGAGAGTCAGTACTCTGGAATGCAGATCGGAACACTACAGGATGAGGAAGATGAAGCAGCAGCACCACCTTCCTCCCAGGAAGAGCCACCGGAACCGTTCCTGCAGTCAGCACTGGGTGCGTTATTTGTACACACAGAAAAACAGGTTGTCATATGAGACATTCTGGTCCCGACAAAGCTTTGATTATGCTTCTTTTTCCCGTATGCGTTTGCTTGCAGCTCTGAGCAAGCCTCATCTCTTTGATGGCCGAGGTCACAACCGGCAGGGCTCGGACAGTAGTGTGGATCGCTTGATACCAAAGGAGGCACCCG